AGTTGACCCTTCCTAAGTCCCGCCCATTTTTTTTCCTGTGCTCCAATAACAGTTAACCACGCCTCTATCAGAACCATGGTCAACTTTCTCCTTTCCTGTATTTAGATATCTGTAAACAAAAGTTCCACTAATTCCACCATGCTGGACACAGCCAGGCTCTAAATGAATCTCCAGTCTAACGACATCTAAATCAGAGGTTTGCAGAGCACCGAACTGTTTTGAAGTAACCGTGAGCAGAGTCTCTGAAGTCCCTGCCACAAGTCACTACCCCAAGCCATAAACACCAATAAAACCATACATTTACCTGTTTAAATATTAAACAAACAACCTATGAACCATTGGTTAATGAAGTTAACGTTAAACTAACTGTCTCCTGGCTGTAGCTTCAAATTAATAGACAAAATCAATCAATCTTACTAAAAAAATAAAAATAAAAAAACAACAACATAAACCTCTCAGCCCCACTCAGATAGAGGCCTCACACAGATTTCATGTACTGCTGAATGCTGCTGGTGACTTTGTGTACTGGGGCGCTACTTAAGTTGCCATAAATATCACTATATTGTAGTTAGGAGGTGACAGGAGGGTGATGAGTAACAAATGAAACACAATACTTAAAGGCAATTACCGCAAAATGATCTATAATCGGCTATGAAATTGTTTACTACTTGCCCAGTAGCAAATGTTCCATGGGGGAACCTCTGGTCTAAACCACTTATTCAACATGTAAATCTCCAAGAGTTTGGCCAGAATATCTGCAGACTGTTGTGAATCTATTTACCTGGAGGTCTTTGATGTTTGGGAAGGGAATTCCAATGGTGACCACTGCCCTGGCATTGTCATCTGTGAAATCTAGTCCTTCACTCACTTTACCCCTACAGACAGCTATCAGCAGTGCACCATCTATAACAAAGAAATCACATACAGCATATATCATTACAGTAAATGACAAGTAGCATGCAGTAGAACTCCAAACAATTACTATAACCATTCTGTTGAAAATGAAGATGATGTCAGCATTGAAGCAGATGTACAAATGACAACTTAAGTTGAGAAGCAACATTACCATTCTGAAAACACTGTCTAGTGTGTGAAAACTAGACTAGATCAAATAATGTATTGGAGCACTAATTTACTGAGATCAGGGCACCAATCATGCTGCTTTGTGATATACTATGTGATATAGAAAGACTAGGAGCGGGTCCAAAGGTAAGCATGATGTTTAACAGTCTCACCTCTGTCATCACAGTATTTGATGGCATCGTAGTACGTCTGAAGCAGTTCATCAAAATCCCCTTTGCCACCACCGCGGGGCTCTGTGATCACAGCTTTCTGTTGCTCTAGCTTCTCCCAGAGACCAGTCTTGGTCCATCTGTCTCGCAGCTTGTCCAGCATCTGATCAAATCACAGGAGGCATGTCGGAAATATAAAGGTTTGCCTAGGTTTTCTTGAAAAAGTAGAAATTGATCACATTAAATCTGAATCATGAGACAACATGGCTAACTAAGAGCAGACACTTTGGGATTGTTCTCTCCTACAGAAGACTCTCATTGTGAACACACTCTGCTTGCACCTTCACAAACTAAAGCCATGTTTTTGAAAAGTATAATAGTTAGGCAAACTACTGTGTACAATATAGTGCGTGAGCTGGCATATATGATAAATGATCGTTGCATATCTTCATCTGCTTGACACGCCAGAGTAAACCTAGGTTTTCATTAGCCATGCTAGCAGCATGGCTCTACAGTATGGCTGGCAATGTTAGTCTGCCCATCACTTTGATCTAGACCAAATGTAAACCTGTTGTGATGTCACCCATTGGTTAATGGAGTACCGTTCTGAAGTCTAGAGTTTGGCATTATGGTCGTCGCCATGTCGGGTTTTCGGAGCCAGCTGCAGTGATGTACTGCGTGTTGAGTTTCACTCATTGGATGCGCAGTTTCAAGTCATCCGTAGCAGGAAACAATGGCAGCTCACTTAGTCACACATGTTCTACAGCTAAACAGTACAATAAAATATAACACCGTTTGACAGTTTGATCTGAGTGTGGTGCGTTGAGCTGGACGGACTCACTGATGTCACTTGACAATGTCTTGTCAAACACAAGGTAGCCACGCCCTAAAGTATACCCTACTTTA